AAAGAACTACAACGCAAAGAATACAACGCAAAGAATTACAGTGCAAAGAAGTACAGCGCAAAGAATACAACGCAAAGAACTACAGCGCAAAGAACTACAGCGCAAAGAACTACAGCGCAAAGAACTACAGCGCAAAGAAGTACAGCGCAAAGAATACAGCGCAAAGAACTACAACGCAAAGAACTACAACGCAAAGAATTACAGTGCAAAGAAGTACAGCGCAAAGAACTACAACGCAAAGAACTACAACGCAAAGAACTACAGCCAAAGAAGTACAGCGCAAAGAACTACAACGCAAAGAACTACAGCGCAAAGAACTACAGCGCAAAGAACTACAACGCAAAGAACTACAACGCAAAGAATTACAGTGCAAAGAAGTACAGCGCAAAGAATACAACGCAAAGAACTACAACGCAAAGAACTACAGCGCAAAGAACTACAGCGCAAAGAACTACAGCGCAAAGAAGTACAGCGCAAAGAAGTACAGCGCAACGGATGAAACAGCTAGTCTATAAGAGCAAACTTAAATTCAATGATAGTGATAGTTTGCTTACCTTTTCTCTTTAGCCTTTCTAGCATTCCATAGAGAACATCACCAGCATATGATGCTCTGCTTTTAAAGTCTTCTTTGGTAAGAATGCACAGTCCTTTACCGTTCATGGAGAATTTATCAACCTCAAGTCGATTTAATGAGAATTCTTCCTCGGACCAGCGTAGCCACCGGATAACATCTTCCTTTGACCAGTACTCTGGGGGAGTTACTGAAGATCAATGTGAACAAAAAGAACCTATTAGACAAAATTACTAACATATGAGCACAACAGAAAGATGATAATTATTGTTATACTCGATTTAATTACTAATTAATTATATATGAATTATATTTCATGTTTATCATTACTTTCATTATTATGGGCTCATGCCATCAGAAAACAAAAATAATAGGGTCACCAGATGATTTTTCAAGATAAAAGGATAAAAATTGTAATGGAAAATTGTTAAAACTGGCACTGGTTACTATGGTATCATACCGGGGTATACCAAAATTTTGCTCAGTGCCATGTGACGAAAAAGACATACTATAATATATTATTATTATTGACATGAATCATAATATAGTTAAAACATTTCAAAAACTTGACATACAATTTTAATAGTTAGTTTCTAGGGTGATATAGTGTTCCATTATATACAATGGGAGATTATCTCCCACAATGCATTGCATATATGTGCAGTGACATCTTCCACAATGCATTGCATATATGTGCAGTGATATACTCAGTATGTAAAATTGAATTTGGCTTGAACTGTCTTAAGGCAAATTAATTATCAGTTTCAGACTCATTATTATCATTAGTCAAACATTAGTGTTGTCACATTTTCATTTATAATTCAAGAATGCTTTTGATGTATCTGAGTTGTAACTCATGGACTGAACAAGGCTTGAAATACGTGGCTTCAACAGAAATCATAATAGTTTCAATTCAGTGATTTTCAAAGATATTTTATATGCCATGGTAACACACCTTAACAATGTATTTTTGAAGGTTTATGTAATAGTAATTAGTAATAGTATTAAAACAAGATTTTTCTATTATAAACGAACTACTCGTTCATTTACCTATACTGGATATAACCATGGATCAATACAAAAAGGATGTACTTGACACACTAATTTATCACCATATATGTCAATTTGTTATCACCTATATACATTGCACATAAAAATGATAAGAGATACGTTCACCACAATGTCTAAATGAAGTTTTCGG